CCACAGTACCCCACAGTACCCCCATAGTACCCCACAGTTCCCCACAGCACCCCACAATACCCCGCAGTATCCCTCAGTACCCAACAGTACCCTGGGGATTACAAATTGGCGTTGTTGCCATCCTTCCCTTCATAAAGTGATCAGCTGATTAGTATTAAACTAGCTTTTTTGTCCATGCAATAATAGTGCAAAACTATAAAGAAAACATCCTTAGAAGTGCTTCTAACTCTACTTATATATTTTTATTAAAAATAAAAAATTCTGTTTGGTTTCTGTACCCCCCAGTATACCCCAGTAAAGCCCAGTACTTTGCAGTACATTGTAGTACCCTGTACCCTGAAGCACTCTGTATACCCTGTTTCCATCACTTTCCATAAAAAGATTTGGGAATTACAAATTGGTGTTTTTGCCATTCCTCCCTCCAATGAATCATCAGCTGTTTAGTTTTAAACCATCAACGGAACCTCTTTTATACTGTTATACACAAATGAAAATAATGCAAAACTAGAGTAAAGTGCAACCCAGAAAAGCTTCTATATAAGTTCTAGATATTTTTGTTCAAAATAAAAATTCTGTTTGGTTTGGCAACTTTTTTCTGCAGAATCTTTCTTACTTTCTGAAAGGTTTCACATCGATATGTATAAGGATATCTACTCGATATAAAGCAATATTTATTAATACTTATTTTGACTCAAACTCTTAACTAAATGAATATAGAAAAAATATGCCGGTTTAAGAAAGTTTTAGATAGATATTTGTAATCATCCAGAACAAAAAGTTTTATCAAAATTAAACTTTTTTAGGTGTATTATTAAAAAATTCAAAAAATCATTTCTGACACCCCTAGGCTTAGTACGTCAATATAATTCACCAAAACCATACTGCAGTCCTTCAATTATCATACAGGGAAATTTTCATCTTTCTAAACATCCCAACGAATGATTTGACAGGTTCTTTCTACTTTAAAACTTGTAAAAATAGGTTATTTCTGAATCGATGATATGAGATATCTTTGCTTTTTTTCCTGGATTAGAGAGGTAAGTTAATGAAAAAAACAGTATATAATACACAAAAACAGTTTACTTTACAGTACTAGTAAACAGAAAAGTGCACAAAAAACAGTACAGTAACCAATGATAGTTCAGTACACAAAACAGCATAGTACAAAAAAACAAGCACACTAGACAAGAACAGTACAATAGACAAGAACAGAGCATAAAATACTCATAAACAGAACTGTACACAAAACAATACAGTAAGCTGCAAAGACAGTATGCAGTACACAAAACAATACAGTGGGCTGCAAAGTCATTATGCAGTACAAAAAACAATACAGTACAGAAAAATATACAAAAAAAAGTACAATACAATAAATATCATATATTCATATCACCATGAACTGAACATGAACAAAATTATACTATGGTACAGAAAAACAGTTCTGAAATTCACAATATGAAACATACGTACAAAGGAATTGAGTTTAGTTTTCGCAACCAACTCAAATTTTCTAATTCCTATATCTTTGCAACCTGACGGTTTAAACCTTTGATATTTGAAACTGTTGACTATATGATCTAACAGAGTTTATAGTTTGAATTAGAACGGGTCTACGACATCGGGTTGCAAAAGTATAGAAATAAGAAAATAATAGTTTGTGGCAAAAACTCAGTTTCGATGATATATGTTTTATTTCGGAAACTATAAGAATATGACATAAATTATAGTTAAGTTTAGAATATATTTGATCTATTTCAGTTCAGAAATTTAGATTAGCATGCTAGATAGATATATATATGTTTGTATTAGTTAAGTTGAGCATTTCTATTTATGAGTAATTTTAAGTTTATAAACAATGTTTTTAATTGCTTAATTCAACCATTAAAATCCATTAGAAGTCTTGTTTATTCCAAAATTGTATTTTAGATTAAATATAAACTGAAGAGAATAAACTATGTATGTCACGTCAAGCTAGAGGGACTGTAAGCGTAATTTTAAGTTAGGTAAATTAAATTATCAATTAAACTAAATTATCAATGAAAGTTTATAGTTTTAAAAACAGATCATTGTCAACTGGGGTTTCTATACAATAATGATTGGCGCATTTCTACTGCCGGAAAACATATATAGCTCTAGGAATTTTCAGAAATAGATACTTTTAACCGTAGAAAAACGATTGTATCTTCCAATGATCAGATAAAGAGATCTTTGATGTTACCTCTGCTCACCAGCCAAAAAGACGTGTCTATAGCACTAGACACATACATTTAGAACATTAAAGCAATTATGTTTAGCTATAGTTTTTAAAAAAGTAATTGGCAACATTCTCTTTGATTTTTAGGTGAGGGCTTTGATCACTGAGATTTAAAATAACAAAAACATATTTCACATTTTTTGCCTACGAAGGTTGCTAGAATTGTCTCATATTAGCCTTGCTTTATTTAACCTAAAAAGGCTGGGGGGGGGGCGTTTGGCGCCCCCCCCCCCTGTAGTTTTTTTGTCCTGGCAGTCTTATTTTTGGCACTATCACCGTAAAATTTTGTGACTTTTAATAAATAGTAATTTAAAGGATATTTTGTTTAAAAATTTCTTTTTTTATTTATAGGGTAGGGTACAGGGCGGAAAAAAGTCCGGTCTGTGAAAAAAACATCTACAAATGCCCATAACTTTTTTGTGACTATAAGCTACAGATCTAAAAACTAAATTTTTGAAAAGCCTTTGAAAAATGCATTTAGAAACATGTGTCACACTTTAATATTTTTTTAAACAAAAAAATATTTTTCTGCATTTTCTTGACTCTTTTTTAGGCATTTTTTCCCAAACTACTAAAGTTATCGTTCTAATTTTTTTTCTTTGAGCTGGCCATGAAAAATTGGGCTATTAACATGCATTTCAATCCTATACCTATTCTCTAAGACCTTTTTCCAGGGGGGGGGGGGAGGGCGCCAAACGCTCCACCGGCTATTCATAGATCTAGACCCCCCAGCATTTATAGGGTTAATAAAGAAGCCAAAACTTTTTTTGGACCCTAAAATGCATTTCTCCTTTGTCAGTGCGAAAGGAATAACAAATTAAGTTGATTTTCATTTTTGTTTGTTTTATTTCTGAAAATAAGCTGATGATTTTGTTTGTTTATACACAAGCTTGAAAGGAAGGGAACCATCTCCAAGTTTTCTATAAAACTTGATAAATAGAGTTTAACAAAAACCCCGGTTCCAAACTTTAAAATTATTCTTTCATAACTCTTACAATAGCCCAGTTATACATACCATAAATTTAAATAAAAATTGTATTTGAAAAGAAGTAAATGACAAGTTTCTTAGTAATTTTAATATTTTCAGAGAAGTAATTGAGTTTTTATCACAATCCCTGATTTTCTAAACCTTATATCTTTGCAACCCGATGTCACAGACCTTTCAAATATTTTGTCATATCAAATTGTCCAAGTTTGAAATATCAAAAGCTTTACACCAGGAGGAATTATAAAATTCAAATGTGTGGCAAAAACTCAATTTCTTTAGAGCTAATCTAAAGTTAATAAAAAATTATCTAGAAATTGAAAAACGCCTTTAAGAATCAAATTATGACCTTTAATAGTGCATTGAACATGTTATACAGTAATTAAGCAGTGTAAATAGACCTATTCAACTTTAAACGTGACTTAAAAGTAACTAGAAAACTTTATGTAACCACATCAAATACACTTAATTATTATTTTAATGTCGTCTTCCTATGCTATAGTGTTTTGGTACTCTGTACATTTCTAAAATGAAAATCCTCATTTGTATGATGAAAATAAATCACTTCCAATATATTTCATGAAATTGGGTTTTTAATCCGGACATAATGATTTGACAATCCACAGGGGTCGGAAACAGTCTATTCTTGACATTGCGTTTAGAGTAAAATATGATTCAGTTAGAATCTTGGTCAAATAATATGGAATCCAAAAATTATGAATGTTGTCCTTAATTATTTTAGAATTCAAGGCCGGCTGTTAATAATCTCTGTTTGAATCTTACGTTGTACGTTGTCTGTAAATCTAACTGCGCTAAACATAAACTACGCAAAACTTGCTATGCGACTAGACTAGCTAGGTATTGTGATTAGCTTAACTACGATGATATATATCTCAGTAACTCTTGTAAATACTTTTTTTTTAACTTCACATGTAATATAGATTAATAAATACACATTATTTGGTATAGACACCACTTTGATTATGGTGATAGAGTAATTTGGTCCTTGTTGAACCATACTAGCTGAAATCGTGCCCATTGGTTTTGGTATTGATCGATTAAGAGCTTGTATCCGTGTTGACATTGAAAGCTAGTCATCGTTGAAACATACGAGCTGAGATGGTTTGGCATTGATCAACTTAAAGAGTTTGTGTGCTGCATTTACTACATGTCTGATTATATTTCCTTAACCCCCTGACCGATTTGTCTCAAAGTTTGATTTTGATACTCGGCTCTTAGCTTTGTTTTAAAATTCTTAGATTGAGTGGGTTGACCTTGAAAGAGTAACTACAGTTTCCAGGCAAAGCTGGGTTCGGAAGCTTGTGATATATAAAAGAGGAAATTGAAATGGAAATTATGAAGGTAAGGATTTTTGAATGTAAAAAATGTAAGATGTAAATGTAATTTAGGAAAAATTAAAACTAAAATAAAGAAATGTAAGATGTAAATGTAATTTAGGAGATACTAAAACTAAAATAAAGAAATGTAAGATGTAAATGTAATATATGAAAAACTAAAGATAAAAAAGAAATATAAGATGTAAATGTAATTTAGGAAAAACTAAAACTAAAATAGAGAAATGCAAGATATGAATGTAATTTAGGAAAAACTAAAACTAAAATAAAGAAATGTAAGATGTAAATTTAATTTAGGAAAAACTAAAACTAAAATAAAGAAATGTAAGAAAAACTAAAACTAAAGTAAAGAAATGTAAGATGTAAATTTAATTTAGGAAAAACTAAAACTAAAATAAAGAAATGTAAGATGTAAATGTAATTTAGGAAAAACTAAAATAAAAAAAAAAAATTAAGAAATGCATGTTAAAGAAGAAAATTAGTGTGAAGGGAAGATTAAAGAATGAGAGAAAAACTTTGGAGAAAAAATACAACGAAAAAATTAGTAAAAAAACTTTTTAAAAATATTGGTCTAAAGATTTAATTTCATTATTTACCAAAACTAAAAATCTTTAATGTGGAAGATATCGTCATTTTTCTAGCTTTCAAACGGATTAGTTCTTATTTTCCTGCAGTACAAAATGCATAAGTCACAATTGAAAGTAATAATCCGATTGCAAAATTATAAACATTAATATCTTTAAATTCATACTTGAGCAGGCAATACTTTTAGGGGTACCGTTGTGAATTGTAAATAGCCATGTTTATATTAGGCTTACAGTTCCTTTAATATGTAAACAATGCCATATGGTGAGTGTATGAATGTGCAGTAGTAATCCATAACACGAGACAATTCATTGACGGCCGTCTTATCTTTATTATATGTTTATCTATTTGACCATTTACTGATTATTTCAAGATTTATTTCATAGAATTAGAAGAGGAGAGTTGAATATTTTTGCATTGATGTTCTCTTTGTACTGGGTTTCAATACATTAATACATTCAACCATTAATCCTTCAACATTATAGTCAATCATTGAAACAATTGAAACATTTGTAACTTAACAGATTGAATATCGAGATCAAGATTAACAATATCATGCATCAAAGTTATGATATCAGCTTGCTGTCTGAAATACGGGTGTCCCACGAAACATGACAGTTGGTGAATAGTTTAACATGTCTTCTTCCATAATTTGTTAAGTTGTTTGATACCAATGAGAATTATTAAAAATATTGTATGGGTGTCATCTTTTAGTCAAATAAATTTAAGTAAACTATTTTTTCAAGCGAAATAAACTGCAAAAAGTCTTGAATATTTAATACATTACATGGAAGAAGACATTCTAAACTATTCACTAACTGCCATGTTTCGTGGGACACCCTGCACCAAAAAAAAAACACTTAAACCAGCCACACCTATTTCAACTACAGGGTGTTTCTCTACAACTGATATTTTTGATTTGCTTATATTTCAATTAAAACGACCTGATAATCTTGCAATAAATATATTATTTGTTAAACTATATTGGATTTGGGACATTCAAGTTTTAAGCAAAATCGCCATTATAATATGAACTTTTCTAAGTTGGTTCAGGCTCCATTTAGAGATTCACAGTCTCCGGTGCGATCTCTCATGTGGCAGACACACTCTCTGATTTCTGCAGGCTGCAGGGAAACAGAAAACTCTTCCGAAATCATTTTAAGCTCTTCATCAGTAGCAGGTTGAGCAATAACTGTAACCTGAAGTCTCGGCGAACCTGTAGCTCATTTCGAAGTTTTCCATATCCCGAGAAATCCAGATTTTCTACTTTCCAGTAAAAGGGCTATTTGACCCATCAATTCAGACTGGAGCCATTTTTATCAACCAGAATATGAAATGTCCCTTTAGGATAGTCAATTTCCCGGATTTTTAACCCAATTTTGCGCAAATACCATTTTGTGACGTCATTTCATTTTACGAAAATGAAAAAATAAATGTATGAAATATTATCAGCATCCGTTTTTCTTCACTTCCATACATCAGAACAAATAAAATTGCAGAAAATATTCCAATCAAACTAACAATGCTTGAATCCTAAACTGTAAGTATAAGCTATGTGCACTGTGCAGGCTTAAACCCACAATTATTAATTTTCATGCATAGCCAGTGTTTTTTATCAGTGGATGGAATTCATTTGTTTTCCTTCTATTTTTATTCTACAGAGTGTACGGTGTTACATCTCTTTAAATCTAGTAAATCTGTAGTAGATGAATTCTACAGAGTGTACGGTGTTACATCTCTTTAAATCTAGTAAATCTGTAGTATATGAAACCAAGCTACAGGGGGGTTTCAATAAACATGCAGATTGTAAGACAACTTAAATAGGCGTTGAAATGTCCTATCTTTGAAATATCCTCTCTTTGAAATATCCTCTCTTTGAAATATCCTCTCTATGAAATGTTTTTTTCTATGAAATGTCCTACCCATGAAATGTCCTATCTATGAAATGTCTTATCTTTGAAATGTCTTATCTATGATATTGTTATCTATGAAATGTCCCAACGTCCTTAAATGTCGTCTTTAATCTTGAAAAGATAAATATAATGACAAAACTTAAATAATAAAAATAGCTTTGCCTAATGTTTTTTTAAGAAAGCTTGTGTGGTCTTAATCAAAGATCAAAGTCGGTCTTTCAGTTGTCTCACAATTGTCATGTATTGTGGGACACCCTGTATGTTTATAGGATTAGTATTTGCAATTCCGAGATTTCGTTGATCTATCCATCCATTATTATATAATCTGTAGTTTCCATGCAAATACAATTAACATATTATGGAACAGAATCTACACAATATTAATGGATTTTTTCCCAACAAGAAACACAAGTAATTTGAGATACTCTTTTCTTAAGGAGTGCCGCAGGAAAACACAAAAATTAAGTGCATCTCTTTTTTTGATGTAAATCTTTGCTGTTTAAACAATTTGATAAGAATATCTGATTTGCAAATATAAAAGTTCTAAGGCATCAGATGATAAACAAGAGCGTGAGGAAAGGGATCAGTTCCTTAAAGGGAGTGACCGGCGATGTATGGTAGTTGAACTGAGAATGTAATTGTGGAGAAATTTTTTTAGGATTCATTTGAGACATTTAAAACGTTTTAATGATGTATAAATACTGAGTTTAAGCGCAATGTCGACGTTCCAAAGTCATCGCTTTGGGTGGTTGTGTTTTGAGAATCGATTTTTTTTAGTTATTAAGTAACGACGACGAAACATGTATCAAAATTCTACATTAAACTAAGTATAGCTGTTTAGTAACAATAGAATTTGTCAGTAATTCAATGTTAGAATCACTTTTTCAGCATAGTGTTGAATTTCTTGTTCTTTACGAATTTGTTCGCAGATTTTTTCAAAGTCTTAAAAAGTCGCCTTTTCAATAAAAATTCCAGAAAATCCACAGAAAAAGTTTGTGAACAATAAGACATAAACTAATAACTGAATAAGATTACTTATTTTCGATGATAAAAGTTAATTTTTATTTTCTCAACCTGTTCCTAAAAAACTAATTAGTTTATTATAGAATTTTTGTTACATGTTTGTAATCTTTATTTACTAATTTTAAAAAACGTAACAACTCAAATAAATGATTTTGAAAGTCGACTTTGAGCTTAAACTCAGTAATTATACATCATTAAAACCTGTTATATGTCTCAAACTCAGTATTTATACATCATTAAAACCTGTTATATGTCTCAAACTCAGTAATTATACATCATTAAAACCTGTTATGTGTCTCAAAATAATCCTCAAAAATGTCTCCATAATACTATATTCTCAGTTCAACTACCCACTGCGATTTAATGGTCTCACGCTCTCAAACAAAAATCATATACATTGCCGTTTACTCTCTCTTTAGCAGAAGAAATATATTCGTTGGAGGAGACGTCCCCCTAATTTTCAAGGGTTGATGCCCCCCATTTTTAAAAAGAGAATCCCCCCCTCCCCCCATTTTATATGGGGGATGTCCGACCCTTCATCCAACAAACCAACTTTTTTTATAAATATTACTCCAGAATGTGTTGCTCGTGGAGAAAGACTTGTTTTGATAGAGGTTAAGGGGGGGGGGTATTACCAGAAAGGGGAGGGAGGGGGGGGGACGTAGAGGAGGTAAGATGCGATTGCTCTGATTCCCTCTAAACTTTCCTAATAAAATTGTCTCTAACATAAAAGCTATTTTGTAGACAATAGAAGGGGCTAATATAACAGGGAATTAAAACTTATTTCCATTTCCTCGCAGAATTAACGAATCCACACAACATACAATACAAAGGATAGAAGAGAACCCTTTTGTCTCTCATTCCATTGATAAACATTTTAAAATGGTTCATAAATATTAAATATTTCGTGTATTCTTAATAATCTTAGCAGATTCATTCTTGGGAATAGAATTCTTATTTGATAAACAACCTTTTAATTAAGATACAGGGATACCCACAAAGTTTGAGACTGTAAAGACGACCCAAAACTCTAAAAATATGACAATTCGATGCTTGATTTTTGGTTTCTGTATTTATTTAAGTATTTTGATGGTTTAATAAACAATTAAGGAAAAAAACCAGTTTTGTCATCAAAGGCATCCTGAATAAACAAATTTAGTACAATCGTCTCTGAAGACTCATCCTTTGTGGGTTACCCTGTATTCAATTATTTGAATGAATATTCAAAATTTATTGGAAAATTCTCTTTCTTTCAGACTGTATTTTTTTTTTTTTTTGAAAGCATCGCCTTCGTTATAAGTCTTGGCAATTAAAAGCAAATTTGACCAAATTGATGTTCTGAAAAAGTTTTATTGACAATTATTGTCAGAATTAGGCTATATATGATCGATGTTCCAATAAGTAGGATAATAAAATTACTACCTCTACGTCTTTTATCCTGGAAGGGTTTTATGCAAGTTATATAGTGCTAGGCTTTTAGAACCATTCGCGCCCCCGGCATGTTTTCTATTAGAGCGTTGATCATTTACTTTCGTATTTTTTTTGACAACAGATCTAGGATTTTGCAAATTTTAATGTATATTTGCTAAATTAAAAAGAATCAAAATTTTAATAAAAATCTGTTTTGTTAAGTAATCATTGCTGTGTCATTTCGTTGGTTTATATAAAGTAAAGATGTTTAAAACCTCCCCCCCCCCCTCCTTCTTCTTTAATTTCAGAGGAATCTCCTTCCGAGTTTAAACTTCAAGCTGGATGATTTGACAAATAATTAGTTAATTATTATAGATTGTCTTCTTAGTTTAAGAAAACAGTTTAAGTCAATGTCCATTATTTCAGTTTTCTCAATGTAAAGCAAATCAGCCTTTATCCTCACTAGCTACTGTTTTGTACTGTAATGTAATGTACAGTGCTTTACTGTACAGAGCCCAAAACTTAAGACAGAGTATCGTAATGAAAACCAGTTTTAAAACCCGGGTTTCGCGAATGGGTTAGGCAGTTTTGTGAATATCAATATTCTTGTAATGAAATATTATTTTTTTCAATTTGTTTATATTCTCCATTTTTTTCGAATCTCTTAAATCATAATCTACACAAATGCTAAGACCCCAGAAAAGAAACTCGGTAGTTTCGTTCAAAGAAACTCTTTTAAATTTCGGGCTCAGTACTCCACTGTATTATACTCTGCTGTTTTGTAACGCACTGTACGGTACTGTATTGTTTAATACTAACGTTTATCTTGAAAGGGTCAATTTGCATCCAAGCGTAAACACCGGAACTACCAGCGGGTGGGTGGTGGGTGGGCGGGGGAACTACAAATGGGGGGGAATACCAGCCAGGGGATCTTCCACTTGCAAAAGAGGAAGAAAAGGGGAGGGGGATAATCACCATGGGGCTTAATAGTTACTTCTACATTCCTTACTTTGCTTTCAACACTTTCTGTTATTTATAATCCAAATTCTATCTTATATGTCTTACTATACTAAATTCTACTGCAAGCATGCTACACATCGGGTATTTTATTTTTTTCTGATATTACCACAGATATCTACATATAAATAATCGATACCCTAGTTTCCATTCTAACTTTGGATACATAGTGAATATTATCCATATTCTGGGTTCTATCCTAACCCTGATAAACAGTGAATATTATCCATTATCTGGGTTCTATCGTAACCTGGATACACAGTGAATATTATCCATGTTCTGGGTTCTATCTTACTCTAGATACACAGTGGATATTATCCATATTTTGGGTTCTATCCTAACCCTGATAAACAGTGGATATTATCCATTTTCTGGGTTATATCTTAACCTGGATACACAGTGAATATTATCCATCATCTGGGTTCTATCGTAACCTGGATACACAGTGAATATTATCCATGTTCTGGGTTCTATCCTAATCCTGGATACACAGCGGATATTATTATTATCCATATTTTGGGTTCTATCCTGCCCTGAATACACAGTGAATATTATCCATATTTTGGGTTCTATCCAAACCTTAATACACAGTGGATATTATCCATGTTCTGGGTTCTGTCCTATCCCTGGATACACAGTGGATATTATTAATATCCATATTTTGGGGTTCTATCCTACCCTGAATACACAGTGAATATTATCCATTTTCATGCTTATATCCTAACCCTGGATACACAGTGGATATTATCCATGTTCTGGGTTCTATCTTAATCTAGATACACAGTGAATATTATCCATGTTCTGGGTTGTATCCTATCCCTGGATACACAGTGGATATTATTATTATCCATATTTTGGGTTCTATCCTACCCTGGATACACAGTGGATATTATCTATATTTTGGGATCATATCCAACCCTGGATACACAGTGGATATTATCCATGTTCTGTTTTCTATCCTTACCCTGGATACACAGTGGATATCACGCAATTTCTGTGCTTCATCCGTAGATGCCATCGTATTTCTATGTTGTTTCTGTGCTTGGATACAAAATGGATATAATCCAATTTCTGGGCCTTATCTCTGCTTGGATACAAATTGGATATCATCCAAACTCTGTGCTTTATCTATGCTTGAATACAAAGTGGATATTATCCAATTTCTGTGCTTGGATGCAAAGTATAGATATCATTCAATTTATGTGCTTACTCTGTGCTAGGATAAAAAATGGATATCATTCAATGTCTGTGCTTTATTTGTGCTTGGATACAAAGTGGATATCATCCAAACTCTGTGCTTGGAAACAAAGTGGATACTTCAATGTTCTTGGATCTGTCGTGGTTGAAAAGTTTAACAAATTGGTTTCTGTGAAAACTGACAACGTCTTGTTTAATTACATATTGACAAGTTACATGAACCATTCTCATTCTACTCCTAGTTCTAATCTATATTTAGAGATCAATGTGAGATCACAGGGAGGCGTTCTAGTATTGGAAATAGATAAAAATAAATTGAAATATTTCTTCTATTATGATTAAATATATTTTATATTCTAGCTTTAAAAATGGTTTTATCATTTTTTCTCATATCCTTTGCGGTAACCAAACTTTAGCATGTATTGGTTTCTTCCACTATAAAGTGCTATATCCTTGAAGCTAGTGGTGGCTGGTAGTATAGGGTACCGTAAAAGGCTCCGTGCAATGGTGCCCTTTTTCCCACGTTTTTCTTCGAAATTTTAAACTTTGGCAGTAATACTGCCCCTGGTGATTGTTGTGCCCCCTTCCTTGGCGCCCTTGGTGGTATCCTTATGTCCCCCCTTTCTTTGGCGCCCCGATGATATCCTTATGTACCCTCTTTCTTTGACACCCCTGCAGGGATCCATATGTTCCCGCTTTCCTTGATACCCCTGGTGGTGTCCACATATGCCCCATTCTTTGGCGCCCCTTCTTCCACGATACCACTGATGAGCCCTTTTCCTTGGTGCCCCTGGGGGTGTTAATATGTTCCTCCCTTCCTTAGAGCCCCTGGCGGGTATTAAGATGTGCACCCCTTCCTTGGTGCCCCTGGGGGTATTAAGATGTGCATCCCTTCCTTGGTGCCCCTGGGGGGTATTAAGATGTACATCCCTTCCTTGGTGCCCCTGGGGGTATTAAGATGTACACCCCTTCCTTGGCGCCCCTAGGGGTAACCATATGTGCCCCTTTCCTTGGCGCCCCTGGGGTACCCATTATATAATGGTTGGTTGGTTCTATTGTGATCTACTAGGAAGATACTAGATACAGATTCTTACAAGTATTTATATACAGACAAACATTATACAAACATACAGTTTATATACAGACAAACATTATACAAACATACAGTTTATATACGGACAAACATTATACAAACATACAATTTATATACAGATAAACATTATTCAAACATACAGTTTATATACAGACAAACATTATACAAACATGCAGTTTATAAACAGACAAACATTATACAGACATACAGTTTATATACAGACATACAGTTTATATACAGACAAACATTATAAAGACATACAGTTTATATACAGACATACGTTATATAAATTATACAGACATACATTATACAAACATACGTTATATAAATTACACAAACATACATTATACAAACATACAGTTTATATTGTAACAGTGGGCGAGTTTTGTTGATCTTTTACGATCAGCAATTCAAGGATTTTTTGGATCGCTGAGATCATAGCTACCAAGGGGAATCATGCCCCCTTTCCCCCCCCCCATCTTTAACCCTACGGTTGGACTTTAGAGTCCTATTTTGAATCCTAACGGATTTATTTGAGTTTGCATTTGGATTCTATAAATAACCCAAGCGACGCCGAATTTTCCGTTATCTTGAAGACCCAAGCGTTGGGGAGGGGGCGGAACAACCCCGGGGTAGCTAGGGTTAAATGCGATCCTAGGATGGAGCAAAATGGAAGGGGGACAGGCAGTTGATCGTCAGCTCCCTTGATCTAAAGGTCCCTTTGAAGAATTCCCCTATTTGATGAAACTGATTTGATTAATAATATTTAGTTTGTATAAGTGAGACGATGAAAATGAAAATGTAAAATGTCCCCTGTTTGATGGAACTGATTAGATTCATAATATTTAGTTTGTATAAGTATCGTTCGATTTAAAGTTTGTATCTTTTGTATATAAATATATTGTAAGAAAAACCGACTCGTTGAATATTTGAGAAACTCAGTGCATTGCTTTATTGATTTTTATTCATATACAATAATATACAGGTAGACATCCTACTTTGAAAGAGAGAATGATGATGAATCATGAATCATGCATGATGGGAGCTATTCTGAGGATTTAGTTGAATACTGCATAGTTGGAATTTAACAAGACATTTATGAGGTAACTTATCAACTAGTTTGCATTATTCAACACTGAAATAGACCTTCTTTTCAAGTGTACTACAATAAGAGTTACTTATCCCAATCTCCCGATTGCTTCTTGTATCTATAGGTAGTGATGGTTTCTTGGTACCCCATGTTTTCGTACTTTTTTAGCATTAAAAAAGGAAAATACCTAATAGATTTATTATATTTAAATAAACTGAGCAAATATTGGTTCATTAAGTGCAGAATCACAATGGCAAGAATGGGTGTATGAAGAAAGTTTAAAGGAATTGTTTCCAAAACAGTAAAATAAGATCAAACAACGCTTATTTATATTTTTTCGCAAAGAAATAAAAGTAATTAATTATCAAAGAATGAAAAGAATAGGCAAAAAGCAAACAGTGTCTTTTTGAATTTGTATTTACTTTCAAAAGTGGGAAGTTTAATGGTTAACACTTTTTAAGTAACATCAAAATATTGTTTTGACAACGAGCTGAAAATTAAAATTTAAACAGAGATTGTAAATCTTAGGAAGATGTAATTCAAACCCTTAAAACGTATAAGATCGATAAGTTTAATTATAGCAATGTAAGAGAATGAGTTAAACTATTAATAGAATTGGTATTAAAGAAATTCATTAACTTATAAGAAAACTTTGCAAGTAAAAACAAATATTTATATTATATATAATATATATATTATAAATATATTTTTAATAACTAAGATAAATAATATATAATCGGGAACTGTTTATTTGACCCTGAAGATGTTGAACCAGGCCGTTTAACCTAAAAATATATTTTATTTAACTATTGTGTACTTTAGCATTCATGCTCACTAACATAATACATAATATACATAATAATAAATACATACATAATATACATAATACATAATACTAGAATATATCTAGTAATCATTGTGTTATGTTTAGCAGTGACTTAAAGGAATTGAGTTTTTTCTACAAACTTAAATTTTCTAATCCCTATATCTTCGCAACAAGATAATGTAAACCTTAAATATTTCAAACTTAAATCATTTGATCTAATAAAAATCATAGTTTGAAATATCTAAGCTGTACGTCATTGGGTTCTAAAGATATAGAAATTAGATAAGCAGAGTTTGTGGCAAAGACTCAATTCCTTCGGTTCCCAGATTTTCTTTTTTAAATTCAGATATTTCTAGAATAAATTATTCTCAATTTAAATGAAAGTAAAATTTATAGTAAGAATTACACAAATAATTCGTTATATAACCAAGGAGTATGGAATAAAAGGGAGATACAACTGACGCGGCCTGCTATACCCTATGATTAACCATGCTTTGCAGACGGTACTTCATTAAAATAAGAAATATTTCTCTGATGTACAATAACAATTGGCCTCTGTACTAAATATTTCTTACACAAATGGAGTACCCGTCTGCAAAGTATGCATAATCATATTGTAGGGCGGGCCGCGTCAGTTGTATCTCCCTTCTACTCCTTGAATATAACCTATAACACTATTAAAAATGCATGCTTATTTTGTAACCTTTACTCATAATAAAAAATTAGTGTCTATTCTCTTTTTATGAATATTTATCACTTGCTGCCAACAAAAACCTCAGATCTCCTAGTTGCATACCCTTTTTCATAAGCTTTGCTTGTCTGGATGGGTGTTTGTTTGTTTTATCCAATAAACGATATAACGGCTGAATCGCTCCGGCCCAATGGAAGGTTTATGGATGTTAAGAATTGATTTTTTTCTGATTTAATCGATAAGTTCATGAAAGTTGTTTTTTGTTATTGTTTAATAATTCAAGAAGAGAAAATGCCGCAGATGATTAAAAGTTCAAATCGAAGATGGTACAAAATGCCCAGGAACCCGTGTAATTGAAAAATATTAATATAAGTTTTGAAAAAGAGAATAAAATAATATGTTTGAAACCAGACAATGTTTCCAGATGAAATTACATTTTAACATTTAATTGATTTTCTATAAATTCTGTTGTTTTAATCAGGTCCGAATTTACCAATAACTAAAACTTTCACATTTATATACAAATATAGCCAATATGTCAATAATCTATTTGATTGGTTCAGAATCAATTAGAAACTTTTTCGTAAACTTTCCGTTAACAGTTCTTATCACATTCTTTCTCAGTAAAAAGTGTCAGCACTCGCAGCAGGTAGGGATGGACAACACTCGCAGCAGGTAGGGATGGACAACACTCGCAGCAGGTAGGGATGTATCAGCGGCAGGTAGGGATGGACAACACTCGCAGCAGGTAGGGATGGACAACACTCGCGGCAGGTAGGGATGGACAACACTCGCAGCAGGTAGGGATGGACAACACTCGCAGCAGGTAGGGATGGACAACACTCGCAGCAGGTAGGGATGGACAACACTCGCAGCAGGTAGGGATGGACAACACTCGCAGCAGGTAGGGATGGACAACAACTCATGGTTCGTTTTATTACTTTTAAGGTGTTTGGACATTTAAAAGGATCACACTAATCTCTGAAGGTTCCAATATTTAAAAGGATCACACTAATCTCTGAAGGTTCCAATATTTAAAAGGATCACACTAATCTCTGAAGGTTCCAACATTTCAAAATTTATGCAAATATCTTCTCTCAGGGATAAAAAACTGACATAGTGCAAGGCAAGGAACTAATGCAAGGAAAGTTATTTCAGAGGTGTACGAATCTTTTGCACTGCAGTGTAATGTCTTTGGGCGGAAAAGTAAACACAAGACGGATGTCAGAGCCTAACATGGAATCCATTTTCACAAAAATAATCTATGAAATATTCTGGTCATAGGAAACTATTATGTGAATTTTCAAAATTATTAAAATTAAACGCTTTTTACCTCCTCGGATACTAAACGGACACTGATGCATCTATTCTTGTTTAAAAAGTCCGCCCAAAGAAAACTGGTTTCAGTATGTACGCAGAGTATACACGACCGCAATTAACTTTCCTTGCATTAGTACCTTGGTGCAAGGAAACAAATGCTTTGTACAACCAGTTCTACAAATTGTAAAACTTCTCCGATTTTTACGGAACCTTTTATAAGTCAAAAAGACCTTAAGTTTTGAAAAACTAACTAAATTATTGCCCATCACTAGCGGCAGCCTGGCAGGTAGTGCAGGGCCTTTTTTTAAATCCGTTGCAATTAGATAAATTAACATAACGGATCGGCTTTTCAAGTAACAAATTGTTTTATCTACTAAAATTTCTGTTTTTTCAGACCCAGCCTTAGGCCAATATTATCTAAGGTTATGTAACTTAAAGGGACTGTAAAGGAAAAATTAAAGGGGGTATAGGACGAAACCTGAGAATCTCAGGCGTTGAACGATACATATAAGACATCTATCTGATGTTCCTGTCTCGAGAAATTGACATAAACTATGTGAAAATTATTCAAAAATTCAAATATATAAAATTTTGTATAAAAGTAAAAGGTTTAAACAGATCTTACTCAGGAAATACGTAACCAATCTAAAAACGAATATATCCCCAAGGAGCCTGAGAATCTCACGTTTGCTCCTATTATAATTTTAACATTTTTATTTTGCATTTTTAATAGATATAGTTAATAATATTATTACTTATAGTCCAGATAGTCCGTATTACGTCACCAGAACTTCAGCCAATGACAATGCAGTATACTGGTCACATACAGACAGAAATCACGTGACCAGTATAGGCATGATTGAAAACTTCTCTATTGACGGTTATTTCCGTTTGTTTTTAATTTATAAGTAACTGTTACCGGAATTTTCCATTATTTTTTTTTTATTTTCTTTCATTGGCGTAACTTTGTCGAGCCCTAACAGGGAACAAACAATCCGTAAATAATAAAATTTTAATTTTTCATTGGTTTTGCAAAACATTTCTGAAAAAGAATCTGTTAAAAGTTTGGTACCTGGAACCACCTAAAATAATTCTCTTCCTCCTCTATTTTTCTGCTTGGAGGGGGGCCCTGGAATCCCCAAACTGAACCTAGTGTTTCGGATTCTTGATGATCTTCGTTTTCTTTGTCCAAGCACAATGTTAGCATATATCTAAATAGTTTATAGACATCAACATATTTTTACCAAACAAAGATTACAATAAAGAAAATTTGAAATTAATTAAATAACAAATTTTAAAACTAATAACTATTTTAGTGCTGTCAAATATGCTTGATTTTGAATACCACCTTTACAATTATTTTTTTTCTGAAGTTTAAAAATTTTTAATAATTTATTTTTTATATTTTTTGCACAATAAAATTGTACCAGGCATAGTTAATAACTTCAAATGTTCATCAATCATCTTTTTTCTCCTTTCTCCATCTGCTTGTCCACAGTTTCTCTTTTTTTTGCCTCCCTTTGCCCGTCCATTTATGGCGCTGCTTTTGAAAGAATGTTTACGAGTCACTGTCTTTGCGCTATTATAAGACAGTGCAGGATCAACCTTTCGTTGTATAGATGTCTTTGCACCATTATAAGACAGTGCAGGAGCAACCTTTCATTGTATAGATGTCTTTGCACCATTATAAGACAGTGCAGGAGCAACCTTTCATTGTATAGATGAACCCTTCTCCTTTTTTGTTTTGCTTAATTGTAATTGCAGACACCTTTCTCAGCGTCAACTGCAAATAGTGCAAAGAACTTTCTAGCAGAGCTCTGTTATCCTAGGCACTGTAGTTTCACTAGAAGTAAATATTTCCATTTACTGTTATCGCCTATTGAAGGATTTATATCTCTAATTGGATAATGAGAATGATAGAAAGATAGATGATACTGCCATGCAATTACTATTGGTGGTTCAGAATAGACACCAAACACATAAGTGAACCCTGATTGGATCAGGCGCCAATGGAATCATATGCAAGTGTGATAGACTGTAGGAATGCAACTGATCGTTTTGATTAAATGTGTGACAACGGTTTGGCCTCTGATTTTACCTCACTAGCTTCCTTGCACTTTTTCGTCAAGACATTTTAAAAGTAAAAAGCACTTTAAGGTGTAATTGGCAACATCCTAAAATTTATTTTGTAACCTTTGGATCACTTGGCTTGTCAAAAAAAGTAATCCTACAGAAAAACGTTTACATGAACTTATTTTTTTGGCCCAAACTTTTAAGACCCTATATCTTTGCAACCTGAATATTTCAGATATTTCAGACTATAGCAATATCATCTCTGGTAGATTTCAAAGTTTAGAATATTATGAAATCAGGTTGCAAAGATGAAGAAATTAGAAAATTCGACCTTATACTTGTCTGAAGTTCAACTAGTTGGTCGAACATTACTGGAAGAGGATGAAGACCTCGTCCTGGATCTTCCTTACATTGATCTCCTTCAGCCTCAATCTAAATAAAGATATGGTTCAGATTTTTTGGTAATATATCCGGTGCCATCTAATTGCTTGTCTTTCCATGCATGTTTTCCTTTCCTTTTTATTTATTTATTTTTTATTTTTTTAGAATTGAGGGGGAGGGGGGAATATTCCCACAACCTCTTTTTTTGGAGATTTTTAAATATTTTCTCCTGAAACACCTAATTTTGTTTGTTTTTGTTATATTTCATAAATAAAAAATTACTTACTGACTTATTGCAAATAATCATCAAAATATCATACCTTTCCGCTGAATATCTAAATGATAGATATCTTTGAGAAGTAATACTGAACACCAATGAATAGCTAATTAGTTCACCATGAAATTTCCCAAATAAGTAAACGTGACCTAAACCCTATTCTGTTACTTTTTACCTGAACCAATTTAGCTCCTCTAAACTTGTGTGGCCATGTTGCTAAGCTAGATCTGGAACCAAATTTAATAAATAAGTTTTAAAAGGTTGATCTACGTATAGCAAGTTAAACCCTTCTATTGTCTGCTGAGAGAAGTTTAGCCCACGTAGTTTAACTACTCCCAATATTTATTAAGTATTGTCCCTGGATATATAAAGTGATCTGCTGGCGACCATATCTCCGGCTGGACCTGAGCTAGCTGTTCCATGTTCTATCAGATCAACAGATACACGTAGACCAGACTCACAACTTCTGAAAAGATCAGGGAGAATATTTCTCTCTAATTGTTCATGTACAAGGTGTCTCAATTTACATGGGAATTCAGTGACGATTTAGATATCGTCTTTGAAAATGATTTTCTGATTTGGTATGGTGACGCCTTCTAGATAATCTATACCGTCTGCAAGCGTTCAGAATTTGTTGCTTTATGTTTTAATTGTATACTGTGTTGTATTGTACTTAATAATATCAGAAATGTGTGTATGCAAACACAGTACAGTTATTTCTCTTTACTATTTATCTTGAAGAAACTTTTACAAAAATTCGTACAATGTTTTCCAGAATAATAAAACAGTCTTTTACCGTTTCCACAAAATACACTCTAGCAGACCTACCTTTATTTTGACAATTGCAATCATGTAATACAACACTAATTCTGTACAAAGACGATTTCAAATTCGTCTTTTAATTCCTATGTCTATCGGAACATCTTGTATTTAAAAGTCTGATAGTTCTAAAAGTTTGATATATTCACTGAGATTAGTTTAGGATGATAAAGTTTAAAAGGCAAAAATTTGTGCAATATCCATAACATTTTGTTATTAATTTCGAACAAAATGTTCTTAATTTCAAAGCGCTCTCGATAGTTCGGTAATATGAAATGTAACGGCTTCTAAAAATGGAGAAGAAAATGCACAGTAAACACATACTCCATAAAAAGTTATCGAAACGTATCTATCCAGGTCCAACCTATCCGCTATCAAAGTCAACCAGGACACAACCCACCTGGCTCTAAAGGACACATGCAAAGCTATCCAACAAACTATTAATTTAGGCTCTAATTGCACAGAGGGACACACGTGTAGCTATCCAACAAGCTATTAATTCAGTGTTCTAAATGCCACACAGGGACACAATCCTAGTTTTCCAACAAGCTATATATCGATCCCAAATGATGGAGACGATCCAACCTGGTCATATCAACACAGGGTCTCAGTGCTTTAAATTCAACACAAGGACACAAGCCTAGCTATCAACAAGCTATATATATAGATCCCAGATTATGGTGACGATCCAACCTGGATATATCAACAACACAGGATTTCAGTGCTCTAAATGTCACACAAGGACACACGCCTAGCTATCAACAAGTTATTTATATAAATCCCAGAATGGGGACGATCCAACCTGCATATATCAACAACACAGGATTTCAGTGCTCTAAATGTCACACAAGGACACAAGCCTAGCTATCAACAAGCTATATAGGTCGATTCCAAATGATGCGGACGATCCAACTTCGCTATGTCAACACACTAACTTTATTTAAAAATCTTATGTCACAAGTTAACGTGAATTGACATAATTACAATTCCTACGTCGTTATCTATATCACATGATTAAAACAATCATATTACGAATTTACAGCACAGTTAAAGTTTAATGTACTTTTAAGGTTAGCGAGAATAAATATAACGTAGTTAATCTATATCCATGAATGTTTATAGCGTAATTTAAGTATATCACATGATTTAATCTAATCATGTATTCAATTGAAGCACAGTTTCTACCAATAAGTCTATGAATAAGTCTACGACACAAATTGTGAATAATGTAAAACGTACTGCAGGTTTACAGAATATCATGTTTACACAATATTTGCTACATCTATACCTGATAGGAAGGTATACTCCGACCCCGGCTAGAAGCACAGGAGAACAAACTGTTATCAGAATACTAAACCTGTCCAATCCAAGGTTATCTCCCATTTCACCTAGAGAACAAAATGTTATCAGAATACTAAGTCCATCCAATCCAAGGTTATCTTCTAATACATCTAGAGAACAAAATGTTATCAGAATACTAAGTCCATCCAATCCAAGGTTATCTCCCAATACACCTAGAGAACAAAGTGTTATCAGAATACTGAACCCGTCCTATACACGATTATCTCTGCACATAATACACCTTGAGAATAGAGAAAAATTAAAGTGAACTTATTAGACCTGATATTAAACCTGGTCTTTTATATTGTATTTGTATTGTATTAAACCTATTAATCCTGTATCTTCGTGTATTTGATGATATGGTGTTGTAATAAGCCTATTAAACCAGTATATTCCGGTCTATGCTGATATTGTATTGTATTTAAACCTAATAAACCTGTATATTCAGGTCAATGAGTATATTGTATTGTAGTAAACCTAGTAAACCTGTATATTCCGGTCTATGATGATATTGTATTGTAATAAACCTAATAAACCTGTATATTCAGGTCTTTGATAATATTGTATTGTAGTAAACCTAATAAACCTGTATATTCAGGTCTATGATGATATTGTATTGAAGTAAACCTTATAAACCTGTATATTCAGTTCTATGATAATATTGTATTGAAGTAAACCTAATAAACCTGTTTATTCAGGTCTATGTTGATATTGTATTAAAGTAAACCTAATAAACCTGTATATTATGGTCAATGCTGATATTGAATTGTAGTAAGCCTAATAAACCTGTATATGTTGATATTGTATTAAAGTAAACCTAATAAACCTGTATATTATGGTCAATGCTGATATTGAATTGTAGTAAGCCTAATAAACCTGTATATTCTGGTCTATGATGATATTTTCTATGAAAAGACTCCAATCTCAACCATCTTAGATTAAACAATTTTATCAACAAATTAAATTACATTTTAAAAAGTCTGAAATAAGTCTTTAAAAATCTTAAATTGTTTGCTCACTGTATCTGCAATCTACATTGTACAGCATAATTTCTTGGGATTATGACTTCAAACAAAGGTAGAAATTACAATTTCTCGAAATAGAAAAAAAGGCAGTTTGTATAACATTTAGAAGCGCGCATTTGTTGTTAATTGTTTTGATTAAATTTTCCTAAGACGTAGTATTAGATTCCTCCATAGCCTGCAGACCTAAACATTAATACATTCCAGAAATTAGTTAGTTAAAGGGTCTGTGAGCGGAATTTCAAGTGACCCTTCATGCAAAGATGGCAATGTCCGATACACAAGGTACCCTCAAATGCTTTGTCTGATTAAGTACAAAGTGAATGAATAAAAAAGTGGAACAGACTAAGGCAACGACGACAGGTTGGGCCAGAGGGTTTTATTGGTTTGGAAATAATTGCATGAAAAGATTTCTTTTGGAAAGTAAAGACTAGAAAAAATAGACTAAAGACCCATGTAAATGTTGTCTTCAGTTAGAACTTCGAAATTTTCATAATTAAAAATCAAAATTTGTTGTTGTTTAAGCTTCAAATATTTACCTGTAAACATCTTGTATGTTCAAGCTTCAAATATTTACCTGTAAACATCTTGTATGTTTAAGCTTCAAATATTTACCTGTAAACATCTTGTATGTTTAAGCTTCAAATATTTACCTGTAAACATCTTGTATGTTTAAGCTTCAAATATTTACCTGTAAACATCTTGTATGTTTAAGCTTCAAATACATCTTGTTTGTGTTTCTACATCTTGAACCTTAGCAAGGATATATTCCACAACCTAATTTACAAACTTAGATTTATTCAAACATTTGATTTGTTTGGCAAAAAATTCAGAGACGACTGTACGGTATTTATTTCGTTTTTTACTTTTATTTGATTGCCTGCAGTAAAAGACAAAATTATCGACAAACGACCGTTTATGAACTTGAAACCGTTACAATTTAAGAGTTTATGGTCGTTTTTAACGTCTTATTCTTTGTGGTGAACCCTGTTTTTATTTAAAACTAAATCATAATTTAGTTAAACCCATTATTATAATATTTTTAAACAACTTATTTTGAATGTAACCTTTACCTCTAAAGGAAGATTTGAAAAACTCGCATTTCCGATGTTTTGATTTTTATTATCAGATAAAAAATTTAAATTCAACCATTCGGATGTTTCTGTTCTTCTTCGTGAAAAGTTGTCTTGGAGAGATTTTTGATTTATTTGCTTTTGATCATCTTGATTTTTTTCAGTCTGATTCTTTTGGTTTTTAGGTATATGATCTTCTTTATTTTCTGATACATGATCTTCTTCAGTTCCTTTGGCATGATCTTCTTGGTCTTTTTCGGTATGAACTTCTGGATTTAATTTTGTGTGGTCCTCTGAATTGATTACGATATTATCTTCTGAATTGATTACGGTATGATCTTCGGAATTGATTACGGTATAATCTTCTGAATCTATTACGGCATGATCTTCGGAATTAATCACAGTATGATCTTCTGGATTGATTACAGAATGATCATTAGAAAAACTATCATTATGATCACTGGCGGAACTTTCGCCCTGCAAATCAAGAGAGTTTTGAAAATGATCAAAATTCGATAAGTTATTGATCACGTTATTATTTGCAAGATCATTATTGTTACTATCCACATTTTGATCACTAGTATAAAGTTTGTCTATGGTTTCATCCATGCTTTCACTTTTAAACCGAAATCTTCATCAGTTAAATTTAAACTATTTCACACTGTTTATTGTTTACTATTTATGTTATTGTTTGTTGTTACAAATCCCCAGTAGATGTAAACTGTTGCTGACTGACTGTTTTTTTTCAGATGTTAACCTCGGAACTTTGCCAAAATTCCTGTCCCCCCCCTTCCCTTCCCTTTACATCCTTATGTATATGTAGTCTCCCCTCTTTTACGCACATTTTAGGTGTCCCCCCTCCTTGATTTACATACATACAGACAGAACCAGAAAACTCTGGAATAGGAAGACGACTTTTAGACTTGTGATGGCTTAAGACAACATGATTCAATAAGTTGCTGGTGGAACCCCAATCAATCTATAGCTATCTTAGTTTTCTAAAAAAAAATTGGATCTAATGCACTTATTTAAAATTCTAATTTTCTTTTTTTACTTATTAATTACCCAAAAAGAATAAAACAAAGGTATTTGTCTAAAAGATAATACCATATGAAAATATTTTTCGATTACAGTCATGTAAAAGACTTTATGAAAATGAAAATTTGTGTTTCAAAAAACTTTAATTTATCATGTTTTTACGACATAAACCTATACTTTAAAACAAAATCAAACACGTCAAAAAAAAGATATAGAGGATCAGATCAGTATCATATAGTACTGTGAGACTCAGAAATCTCTGAAATATGAAGACGACATTAGTAGTTTCTTTGTGAAGAAACAATCTCAAGAACTGACGAGGGTCAATCCAGACCGAAATATGTTTTCAATAAATGTGGAACTAACATCTACTTTTTTACTCTACAGAGGTTTGGTCCATCACCATCACTGAATTTTAATTGTAGTTTAATAAGTTACTAGAGACGTTGTGCTTTGTAATTGTAACAAACCAGAATCAAATAATGGCTTATTCCTATTCCACTGTATCATGTGTGTATAATTATACTTGTTCATTGTGTCGTAAATAATTAAGGTGAGAAAACTTTAATACATTTTTCTACAAACTGTTGAAAACTGTATTTGCATCAGCGCATACCGCTATTATTTATTAAATGAAGTAATATAATTACGTATTTCTGGATTTCGCCTTAAAAAATTATGTAAAATTGTATAAAAAATAACCTGAAGCCGAATTTAAAGAATTATAAGCCGCAGCTCAAATATGGTTGGTTCCACTTACTCAATTTTTCAAGGTTCAAGCCGCGCTCAAATTAAAACAGGTTTTTCGGGGATTTGAGACGGGGCTTAAATTCATTAAATTCGGACACTGAAATATAAATAAATGAATAAATTTTTATTGAACAAGTTATACACAATTAAAAAGTTCTACAAACGTACTATATATGTTACTATACTGTGTACAGTAAATTGCACTGAATTTTGAATTGAATTGAGATATTTTGAATATAAAAAATGTATTTTCTAGAATATTTAATAAAACTGCCAAAGTTACGTCTTCTCTATTTGTCGTCTTCGCTGAGAACTCCTTCCCAGATTTTTGAATGGTCAGATCTAGAAAGAAATTCAAAATATTATAGTCTTTTAGATGATAAAAATAAAATCTAGAAATTTAAAATAGATGATAAAAGTAAAAGTTAATATATAAAAACAGCGAGAACCTGAAAACAGTGGAATTTTTGTTGTCTACTATTTTCTTTCAATCTTTTTAAATGAATTTTTTAATCTACCATATAACTACAAAAATGCCCTGATGCTAGATTAAAATGAAAGAAGAAAATTGATTAAACCACGGAGATCTAATTGAACCACGGAGATCTAATTGAACCACGGACATCTAATTGAACCACGGAGATCTAATTGAACCACGGAAATCTAATTGAACCACGGAGATCTAATTGAACCACGGAGATCTAATTGAACTTCTTCCCTTTTACTTGACCCAGATCGCACAGGAACTGGTTTAGCCGACAGTACGGGGTTTAACTTCCACTCGCTCTTCATTAAATCTGCATGTCCTTGACCAATTTTTAGAGATATTTAATTTAAAACCATAAAATCCTTAGCGAAGAGACACAGTAAAAGGAAGAACAAAGACGACATTTTTTCCTCAGTGTTCTACAGGGTGTCCCACGAAACATGACAGTTGGTAAAAAGTTTAGAATGTCTTCTTCCAGATTTTTTTAAGTTGCTTAATACCAAAGACAAAAATATAATATTGTATAGGAGTCATATTATATTAAAATTAACCTCAAAGTAAAATATATTTGAGCAAAAGATTTTTTAAACGAAATAAACTGCAAACAGAAAAATAGTTACGCTGTATCTACATTTTTGTCTTTGTCAAATTATTTCAGAGGAATATTTTTTTTCAAATAATCAATCTAAGAAAACCAGGATTTTTATTAAATTTGAAGTACAACCTTGAGTTTGAAACCAAGATGTCAGCTAGATTAAAAGCTCCGAATTTATGAATTCTGTGGAAGTCTGGCTGAGGTCCAGCCACCTCAAAAACAGCCTCATATCTGAAAAAAAGTATTTTTATTTAAGATATAATTCTTTTATCGATTTTTGTTTGACACCTTTTACAACAAGATGTTCTGTAATCTAATTCAAAATGGCTGAAAAAAAACGTTTTAAATAATGTCGTCTTACTTCCTGTTATTTCCTGTTCCGTGGATAGCGTAGCCATTAATTTTCGTGCATATGGGTGGAAAATAGGAACCTAGAAATAAGAAATAGTAAATGAAATCACATTAATCTTATTAAAAGGGTATAATTAATTTTGCGTGCTGTCTCATTATTCAGATACAGGGTTACCTACAAAGGATGATACTTCAGAAATTTTTAATGGCTGTTTTTCTTATAATTACGATTCCATGCAATTGTAGACTTGTTTGTTTCTTTTCCAAATCATTAAATAAGCCAATAGGTTACTATATTTGAGGCAAAAAAAAGACAAAATTTGGTCTTGGAATTGTGACGTTTTAAGAGTTCCCGGTCGTCTTTACAGTCTCATCCTTTGTGGGTACCTGCCTAATCAAATAGTAAAGTAAGTAGGGAAAATAGTAAAATAATCTGAGATTAAAATTCTAAAATATATTGGACTGCACAGATTTTTGTGGAGCCAAACAAGAGTAAAAGAAAATCTTAAATGTTAAAAAGGGATCAAAGAGTAACACAAATGATAAGCAACCTAAACACATTCATTATCAGTATGAATGTCGGCCATTTTGTATTGAATTTTAAGTTTTATACTCTAAATTGCACGGACCGCAGCTTTCCGTTCATACAGGGTTACCTACAAAGGATGAAACTTCAGAGACTACTGAACAGAATTTATACTGTCTTTTTTCTTATATTTATTATTCTCTGCAATCGTAAACTTTTTTCCTAATCAATATATAAGCTAAAAAAAGATTGTATTCAATTGTTAAAGACTTAATTCAACCTTGCAAACGTCAGATAAAAAAAAATTCAGGTCGTCTTTATAGTTTCAACCTTGGTGGGTAACTCTATACCTGGAATAATTGCCGACCCTGTCCAAACATGTCCCTGGATTTCAGCAGTGTACTGTAAAGGTAGTTTTTGCCTTAATACAAACAGTAATCATGTTTCAAAACTATTTTAATTATGAAGATTTGAAAAAGTATTAAAATAAGTATTCCATTTATGCTGTAGCATGACTCTTTCACAACGATGCACCCAGCATCTAGTCTAAACCAGGATGAATTATTTATCTATGTTTAACCCTTTCAAACACTTTTCAAGCTAGTTAAAAACAATTATATCTTCTGATAAAGGTTTAAATAATAAAAACCGTTGTACTTCGGGCAAACCCATCTTTAAATGAAAACTCACTCGAAATTAAAAAGACTGTCCCTTTAAACGTACTTGACAATATTCCTGGTTCCCTTGAGTAGGAGAACTAAGTGTTGAGCGTGAGGACCGAACTCAAGCTCCAGGTACTCTTCGGCATCGTTCAGGAAGAATAACTCAACCACCTGGAGAAACAGTATGATTAGGAATGAACTCTAGCTTCAGGTACTCTTCAGCATCGTTCAGGAAGAATAAATCAACCACCTGGAGAAACAATATTATTATGACCAAACTCTAACTCCAGGTACTCTTCTTTATCTTTCAGGAAGAATAATTCAACCACCTGGAGAAACAATATGATTAGGACTGAACTCTAGCTCCAGGTACTCTTCAGTATCGTTCAGGAAAATAAGAATATAAGACTTCTTAAGCTGTTTTTGACAGGTTTTGAATGATTGATTAAAATATTCCGAACAGGGTAGGAAGGTGGGAGAGAAAGAAGGAAAGGAGAAAGGTTTTTAATTATGTTTAAAATAATTTTTCAAGAAAAAAATAGATTTTTTACGAATAAAAATGCAATCTAATGTTTCTTAAATAAACTTGTAACTTATATTGACCTCGTAATCCCAGAGATTAGAGTAAGGCTCCCCCGGTTGACCGCCAGGTGGGGCTAGATCTCCGTAGTAGGGTGCAACTAGTCGCACTGCCAGGTCATCTCCACTGCAACAAAAATTACTTTAACTTGGGAAACACAAATTTGCCTGGAAACTAAACTTTCACTTTTTAAAAACACTGCTGTGGTTCTGCCGAGTTTTCCGATAAAAACTTGAGACAAATCGTTCAAGCTGTGTTTATCTTGGGAACCCAACGTTGCCCAGGTTACTCATAGTTACTTCCACCGTTTACCCGCACTTGGTCGATTATACCGGGAAACTAAATTTTCGAAATAATAGTCGACCTACTCAATTCAGAATCTCTAAACCAAGCTAAGAACATTAACGTGACTCTCAAAAGTTCCCGAATCAGAATTTGAGGCAAATCGGTACAGGAGTTCCTGAGTAATAACAGCACAAACAAACAAACAGACAAACAGAGATAAAACGAAATATTTTATCTTTTAGAGATAAAAGCTTTACAAATAAAAAAGGTCCTGAGCGGTTATGCTTTTTGATTAAAATAACTAAGGAAGAGAACAATCGAATTCTACTATTGACTGCTTATTACAGTTTGCTCTAAGGGGGAGCGATACAAATAATAATGCTGCAAATAAAAATAATATTAGTAAAAATATGGTCAATAATCATTAAAATTAAACCTTGCAGACAGAAATATTTTGGCAGAGTTTTCTATTTTCTCTTCTCCATCCCAAGATAATCCAACCTCCAACTCTATTTCCTAAATTAGAAAAATTGCAATCTAAGAATTAACATTCTGATACAGCTTTTTACTTTTAAGGCCATTGGATGTCCCAAAAAAAACAGGAAATGACGAAATTAGAAATAATGTAAGAATGTTTACATGTATAAAATGTAAACTTCAAAAAATAAATAAACTGATTAGTGCTTATATATCTCCGCGTTTACAGGGTGTCCCAATAAACATGGGAATTGAGTGATGATTTTATTTCTAATAGTAATGTTGTACTTAAAATGAAAAATTCCAGTAAACAAAGAAACTTGTCCTTCTTTATTATTCATCTAGCTTGCAGATAAATTATAGACAGTAGACACAGACTTTTACTGATTTCATAAAATAAACTCTAGCAGACATAATTAGATTATGGCTTTTAAAATCAGATATTGAAATCTTTTAACAAAGACGATCTCGAATTCGTCACTCAATTTTCAATTTTTACTATTTTACAATTTACAATTTTTAGTATTTTACGTAAATCTCAGTATTTGCGAAAATAAATAAATAGCCATGAATATGCCAGAACAGTTTGAAAGAGCTCCATATAATCATTTAATTAAAAAGCTAAATATCTGCAACATTCCATTATTAGAAAGTGAAGAATATGACATTTGATGAATTCTTTCGATGTATGGCTTGTTTAGGGTTTAACAGTACAAAGTTTAAAATTTCAAACAGAAGTATTTACCTTTTTATCTAACATCCTATAACAGTAAAGTTCAAACCAAGTGTATGATATCTGAAATCAAAAGCAAAAATATATATTTTACACTATATAAAACTAAATTTTGTATACAGTCATAAACATTGACAGTTAATTAGACGACTATATATCTGGCAATTTTAAACGCAAAATAAAGGCAGACCACATTTTTGAATTGACAGGACTAGGTTTATTTTGTTATTATCGTTTAATTAACCATATATGTAAAATTAGATTGCAAAATTGTCTGATTAATAGTAAATGATTTACTTTTTAATAGTTTTTTTCAACTACAAAAAACCTTACGTGTCACAAATGCTAATAATGAAAAAAACACATTATATTTACTGGATTTTTAAAATACTATAAAGGAAAAATGTTTAATCTTGTACTTCTTCTAAATCATCAAAATTTATATATCTTTGAACGATTATATTTTAAACACTAAACACAACAGCTGAAAAACTCCCAAATGTGTTCTGAAGTTATAAATAAAGATAATAATAAAAACAGAACTGCATAGATAGATACTACTTAAAATCCACTATCTATCAAAAGTATCGTTGTATCGCGGTCATTTAAATGTAAATTCATGTAAATAAAGCCCTAGGAACTAATTTGATTTGGAGAAAAAATTAATATAATTAGGAAATTATAAAATTGAATGTTAAAAATTATACAAAAATCAGACTAGTTACAGTAAATATTCTCGTCAAACGACAGTAAATTATAAGACTAAAATATATAATCTTTCAATCCTAACTCCTCTTATTGTAAAGCTATTGAGATGAAACAAAATATTTTGAATTTCTAATATGTAACCGGATAATTTTTCTTTCATACTTTTGCATAAAATCTAGACTAGAGAAGCTACGAGATCACAAAGTCGTACCAGTATCCCCTTATGTCCAGTTTGCAGTGTTTTGTATATAAACTCAGTGAAACTATATCCATAGGACCAGTGCACGGCTTTCTTTCCATATCTTGTTTCAAAAGGAATTGAGTTTTTGTCACCAACTCTGATTTTCGAATCTCTATATCTGTGCAACCCGATGTTGTAGACCCTTGATATTTCAAACTATGAATTCTGTTAGATCAAAGTGTCTAAGTTTGAAATATAAAATGTTTACACCATCCAGTTGCAAAGATATAGGCATTAGAAAGTTTGACTTTGTGGTAAAATCTCAGTTCCATTGCTTTTAAGGAGAAATATTAAAATAAAGGAGACTTCTATAGTTTCTTGGTTTCTCACACTATTTTCAGCAAAAACATTTGTATACATTTTTTAACAATAAATATAACTTCAGAACGGTTTATCTATAATTTTTTAATGTCAGTATTTTTGTTAAAATACTAAAATGCATAGAAAACTAAAATAAAAACCAATTGGTTCTTAACGCACGGTTTACCTTCTCCACAAATTAGATCAAATTTAATAAACTGTTTCTTTTGTAATAGCAGTTCGGATTCTCTGACATTTAACACATTTTTCTGTAAAAAATAGATTTGTAATTAAAACGTTGTTTGAATATTGTTGGATTTCAGAATGATTTATTATGCAATATACATTAATTCATATATATAATATTAAAAAAAAACATGGGCAAAACTATGAGTTCTGAAGGGTTTTTATTAAGATCTAAATTTTTTAACGTCTGATTGCAGTTTTAATAAGAGTAATGTATATATAAATTACTCTTATTACTCTTATATTAGGTTGTATTTGAGGAGAGGGTGAGATTAATTACCTCCACCCTTACCCCGTCCCCTCCCTAGTTTTGCCTTTAATACAATCTGGTTTACAAATAAAAATAACAGTTATTTAAACAGACAGTTCTAAAATTTGTTTTCTCAACAACTCTTTGTGCATTGAAGGTATTGTTCACAGAAGATAAGGTGTCATTAATGTAAAAAAATTGCATTTTTTAATTTACGATTTTTTGTCCATTTTACGCAATGTTTAAATTCCAAACATTGTAAAAGCTCTACTTAAACTTCCAGGTACAAACCTAATTTATAGCCCAGATGGAAATAATGGATTTTGCAGATTTAAAACTACATGGTGCTGCAGTATACATGAACAAAGGAATTGAGTCTTTGTAACAAACTCTGATTTTCTAATACCTATATTTTTTCCACCTGATGGTGTATACCTTTGATATTTCAAACTTCGATTTTTTCATCTAACAGAATTCATAGTTTGAAATATCTAGTGCCAAGGTCTACGGCATTTGGTTACAAAGATATGGAGCTTAGAAAATCATTGTTTGTAACTCAATTCCTTTATTTTATTTTACAAGATTACCAATAAAAGATGCTAATAAAGACAAACTCTGTAGATAAGATAATTTGAAAGGGAAATTTGGTTTTATTCTAGTGAAAAGTCTTTTCATTGGCTATTAAATGATTTGGTAATCAAATCAGAGAGTTCATGTAAAGATAGATGATTTGGTAATCAAAGGAATTGAGTCTTTGGAACAAAATCAAATATTTGAACCTCAATATCTTTAGAACTCGATGTTGTAAACCTTTGATATTTCAAACTCAGATTATTTGATCTAACAGAATTCATAGTTTGAAATATCTAAGGTCTGCAACATTTGGTTCCAAAGATATAGTGATTAGAAAATCAGACTTTGTGGCAAAGGCTCAATTCCTTTGGGAGTGCATGTAAATACCCGTACAGTTGTCTCATGAACCTATAAATGTGTAGTTCTAGCCCTAAGATGCTCATCTATTCATGTACAATTTAGTTTGTAGATAGATGTTATTCAGAACTATAAAAAGTACTTTTCTTTAAGAAATAAACTTTCCAATCAGCTGAAATATTTTGAAATATTTGAGGTAATTTTTGTAAAATTTTTCTATTGACCCGTAGTTTGTACCCAATCTATTTTTACACCAAATTATTGGTACCCGAGTCCGAATTTAATGAAGTTGAACCGCGTCTCAAATCCGCCAGCGGCCTAAAACGGTTTTAATAAAGCGTCGGCTTAAATCTTGAAATATTGAATATAATTTTAACTGGAAGCAACCATATTTGAGCCGAGTCTCAAATTTAAGCTGCGGCTCAAATTCTCCAAATTCGGCCTCAGTATACATACAGGGTGTCCCACATCATATTGGATCGTCTTATAGCTTTAAATTGCGATTTCTGGGACTAATCAGAAAATTAAAAAAAATATGAAGATTTGTATGCAGAAAAACAAGGTTTTTTAACAAAATGTGCGTATTTTGGCGTTAAAGCTTGGAGCAAATCTAGTAAATGGGACGCTCTGTATATCCAATGCTAATGTTCCCTACATTAAAACTTTAAAACGTCAATTGTACAATTTACAAAGAACAATACAATTTTTATAATAAATGCTAAACGGTGTATACTCTTTCAGAGGTAGAGACCTAAAGTTTGTAAACAAACATCAAAGAAATATGAGAATGAAGAGACACTAGTCGAAATTCATTGACGACTCCCGAGCTTTCCAAAAGGTTTATATGTTTGGAAAGGAATTGAGTTTTTCTCACGAATTAAAATTTTCTGATCCCAATATCTTTGCAACCTGATGGTGCAATCCTTTGATTTTTCAAACTTAGTTTATTTGCCCTATAAGAATTTATAGTTTGAAATATCTAAGGTCTACGACAAATTGTATCAGAATTTTTGGCAAAAACTCGATTCCTTTACAACAATTTTCATTGCGGCAGAGCACAAAAATAGTTTACAATATCGTCACTAGCAACAATATTTTTCAGAATCGAGAGTCAACTTTTCCTGGTCCCTATATTGGATCATCTCGTTCCTTGTTTTCATGATCCCTATATGGGATCATCTCGTTCCTTGTTTTTCTCTGAATTTTGCCATTTTATGAAGGATTTGGCGAGGTCGTCTTTTCTCTGTCTTAACTCCAGGTATTCACGGGACCTGGAAGATATTTTTTTATTGTCAAATGTCAATTTCATGTTGTAATTTCATGTGACACTATATTTAAAGAGGGGCATAACGGTTTACAAAAGTAAAGAGAAACAACAATTTACAATAATCAATTTTAAAATTATCAAAGAAAAACATTGTTGTAAATATGAAGTGTCCGTCAATGAATAGAGACTCACTTTAGATTCCGTTTACAGTCCCTTTAATCATAATTTAAACTGCACTAAACGTTGTTTTGATAAATCTTACAAAACAATTGTCGGAAGAAAGCTCCAAAAAAAAGATTCTGTTAAAAAAATTTAGAAATTATTTTTAAAATCTTACTTGTAAACTTCATCCCCTTCCTTATTCATCATCTTTGTTGACATATGAGTATTACTCTGTAAACCAGTTATACTGGTATACTCCGGTATATCTGGTAGTAGTTCTCCGTTCCTACACACCTATACAGAGTACACATTAAACCAGATATACTGGTATACTCAGGTATATCTGGTAGTAGTTCTCCGTTCCTACACACCTATACAGAGTACACATTAAACCAGATATACTGGTATACTCCGGTATATCTGGTAGTAGTTCTCCGTTCCTACACACCTGTACAGAGTACACATTAAACCAGATATACTGGTATACTCCGGTATATCTGGTAGTAGTTCTCCGTTCCTACACACTTATACAGAGTATACATTAAACCAGATATACTGGTATACTCAGGTATACCGTTTATACTGGTTTAATCCGATACACTGCGGTATGCTCCAGTATACCCTGGTATATCTGAATTCCCGGTTACTAAATTAATATCAAGAGGTATTTGAACTCCGGAGAATAGTTGAACTACTACTTGGAACATAAACCGACTGGTTCAATCACGTAGTTCAGCGTTTTTTTACTATTCATTAAATTTTGTTCCTGGTTCCAAGACAAATAAAACTAACCTGAAAAACTGCATCACCGAGGATAACTGAGGATTTTAAAGTTTGCTTTTTAAATAAATCCACGCAGATAAAACAATCTTCTTTTTCACTGAACAAAAATTTAGTTTTTACTTAAAAAAAAAAAATTTCTTTTCACTGAACAATAATTGTTTCACTTCAGAGAAAATAATCTTCTTTTTTCACTTTACAATAGTTTTTTAGGAAAAAATATTATCTTCTTCACTAAAAGCTACTTTTTTTACTTTAGGAAAATTATTTTCTTTTTTTTAAACACTACTTTTTTTACTATAGGTAAAGTTATATTCTTTTACACTGAACAATAGTATTCTTTTACTTAAGGAAAAATAAATATTTGAAAATTTCTTAAAATTTAGCAATTTACCTTTTTCTACTGAAAATATGGTCTAATGAGTAGGAAAATATGAGCCTGTCCAATCCAGCGTCATTATCACTCACATCAAACACCCAGCTCTCCTGACGTCATTTTCAGTTTTTTTCTCAGTTTTCTTGTTTAATTTAAAAACATTAATACAGTACATTCTTCTGCAGCTGAATTACCAGGATTTAAAAATATTTATTTCTTCTTTAGAAACTTTTATAAATAAAAATTCTTTCTTCTTCTGAAACTTTTATAAATAAAAATTCTTTCTTCTTCTGAAACTTTTATAAATAAAAATTCTTTCTTCTTCTGAAACTTTTATAATTAAAAATTATTTCTGAGGTCAAAACTTTAATAAATAGAAATTATTTCTGAGGTCAAAACTTTTATAAATAAAATTATTTCTAAGGTCAAAACTTTAATAAATAGAAATTATTTCTGAGGTAAAAACTTTTATGATTTAGAAATTCTTTTTGAAGTCAAAACTTTTATAAATTAGGAATTCTTTTTGAAATCAAAACTTTTAATTAATGAACAAAAATTCTTTCTGAGGTTGAAACTTTTGGATTGTAAATTCCTGGATCTTTTGTTGTCAAAGGCTTAAATTGATTTCTTTTTGTTATAGTTTGATCAACCCCAGAAGGGATCAAACACTAAACCCTCAAATTTAAAACATGCCAGTGCCACAGTGGATGTGGAGATCTTTACTATTACTAATTATAATTTTATGCATGAAATACTAAAGTATAATTTTTTAAGAAATCCACAAAAAATCTTAACCACCCACAAAGAATGAGATTTCAGAGACGATTGTACGGAATTTACTCCGTTTTCTTGAATTCAATGTTAATTCTTTGTAGACCGAAATTGACTTATTTCTGTGTTTTATTATACTCAATTTACTGGAGAACCCAAAATTTAATCTTTAAATCGTCATATTTTTAGAGTTTTGGGTCGTTTTACAGTCCCTTGTGGGTAAGCCTATACTAAAGTTAAGCGTTAAAAAAAATATTTATGAAAATGTTTCCTGATCAACGACATAGCTCTTTTTCTTTTCAATTCCAAGATGATCTCCTCTTTAAATAGAATTAAAATATAATCAACAAATATTATTCAAATCTTAAATCAAGTTTAGTTCAGGGAAATGTAAATAATCAACCCATATATATAAGATCATCAGAAAATGTGAAATTTTCGCGCCATTTAATAAGCTCTTTTTAGTGGGAATCTACCAGGGATAAAAAGAATGGATTAAGCAGATAGTTTCTACATTGGATATTCAGATTAATCGATCGGGATTAAGGGTATCAAATTCTAAAGTTCCCAGCTCTGGTTAGATAGATCTAAGTATAAAAGCCATCTCTTTCGACCCCACGTTTACACATTTCTTGACAAGCCCGAAAATGCAAACCTTTAGTGTAGCATTTTTTCTCCATGATACACCATGCCGATTTCATTAGCTTGGATTTTTTTAAAAAACGTATCTCTACTAGAACCTGGGAGGGAAGAATGTAGATCTGAACTCTAGAGTAATCTTGTCTTTCCCCTCTTTATTTAAATGCTGGATGGAGCAGATCTCAAGTGCAATCTCGTTTTCTTCCTAGTTACAGGGATATCTCAATAAATCATAGTAGATAAAATACATACAGGGTGTCCCAATAAATTCTACTCTGCTACAGGGTGTCCCAATAAACATGGGAATTGAGAGACTACTTGAATATCGTCTTTGATTTCCGATAATTGATAAATAGCATAAAGTACATAAAAACATTTTTACGTCTAATGAGCTTTCCAAAATGTGGTCTACCTTCTTTGTACCTTTAACATTGACGGAGATATTAAACTGTTTTCTTGATTTTGAATTAACTGGAATCTGGACGTCAAATTTGATGGTGAAAAAATGGTAGACAACATTTTGGAAATCCCTAAACTACTAGTTTTATGTGTTTTAACTGTGATACTACAAATTAATTTTTATAAAATAATCCCGCATGGAACAAAGACGATATAGAAGTGGTCATTTAATTCCCATGTTTATTTGGAAAATCTTACAAAGAAACTAAACCCTCATTTCAAACTCTATTTATCTTAAACCTGATGTTGTAAACGTTCGATATTTTAAACTTGGCTTTTTAATCTTAAATAATTTACTGAATACATTAATTATCAGATGTTAAGAAAGGTTGAAGCAAGTGTTCAATTTCTTTGTTCATTTCCGGAGCAAGCTAGCAAAGGAAAAATCTTTATCTAAGAAGATACATTGACAACTTTATGAGACCCTTTTAATAAACAACTGCTGTGAATGATACACACTTCTACGCTTTTAAAAAACACAGTATCGTATAGCTCGTTGTTCTTTCAATACGATGAGACCATTATATTAGATAAGGGATTTTTTTTTCACACTAATTTCTAATCCTTATATCATTGCAACACAATGTTGAAGATCTTACATATTTCAAAGTATTAATTATGTTAACTCAATTAATTTAAGTTTGAAATATCAAAGGTTTACACCATTGGGTTGCGAAGATATAGGGATTGGAAAATTTTAATTCAATTCCTTTAAAATCTTCTAATTGCTTCTAGAGATGTTTAGATAAGGCTAACGTTGTGAATCATTTATGTACCACTTTTTTGACTTTGGGTCGTTGATGTGTTTTCTGTCACTTAGTTTTTGTTTAAAAGAAGTAACTACCTGACAATATCCTAGTCTATACTTGAGCAGGAGACCATCATAAACCTCCTGATTATCCTCATACTCCTCCTTCATCCTCAGGAACCTGGAAATCAGGGACTTGGAGCTGCTTGTCAGGAACTTCAGCTCCTCCTCCATCTCCAGTAGTGCTGTAGAGCTGGAGTAGTTCATCACCTCCTCCTTCATAGCTTGCTGTTTGAAGGCAATAACATCAGATATTCCGTCCCGGAGATAATTAAACCTCGATGGTTTATTTTTCTCATTATTTCGCTGCTTTTTCATGGAGAAGAAATCTACGATAATGAAGACTACAGTGAGAACCAGAAAACTCTGGAATATGAAGTCGACTTGTAAACTCAAGTTATGACTTTTGATAGCTCAATGAGCACGAGACACAGCAATAATGCAGTGTAAAACCCATTTCACTCAATAAGTGATTAATAACTTACTAGTAATGCTATATTTGCTTTGTAACAACATCAAATGCACTTCAGTATTCCGAAAATGTCGTCTTCCTATTCTACAGTTTTCTGGTTTTCACTGTATTTTACACGAAGAGGCTGCCAAGTAAGGTTTAAAAAATTCGAGTCTTCAATTCCTATATTAATTTTCGGTAAGCTAGATTGTTTACAAAAGACCAGAACTTGAAATGGGTACAGAGTGTTAAACCTTAAACATTCAAAATTTATATCAAACAGGTCCAACTCGGTACAAGGATTTACCGATCTACTGTAATCGTACCATTGTACTACATACTGAGGTTACTGAGTGATACACATATACTCGCACCAGCCCCTCTAGTGTACCCGTTGTGCAGTTGACCCAGCGGGATTTATGCAAAAAAAGTAGTCCCTTTAATTATTTCAAATATAGTTTTCCTACCTAACAGTTCGCTTTCAAACTTATTCCAAAGAAGGAGGCAAACAGATTTCCTGTAGTTCTCAAAGTTCTAAGTTAAACAAAGATGAAAAAAGTAAAAATAAATAAAAAAATTTGCACAAAAACTCACCTGATTTTTAGTAAGCTTGAATTTATTGGAAATAATATGAATTTCTTTGTCTAAGAGAACCAAAGCTCCAGTTACCAACTTGTTCTCTCCTTTTTCTGTTATATATCTCTAGAAATTAGTATCCAATTTATAGGATATCAGGTTAAGGAGCTAGTAGTATCCAGTATTAAGGATATCAGGTTTAGGAGTAGTATCCAGTATATAGGATATCAGGTTAAGGAGCTAGTAGTATCCAGTATTAAGGATATCAGGTTTAGGATTAGTATCCAGTATATAGGATATCAGGTTAAGGAGCTAGTAGTATCCAGTATTTAGGATATCAGGTTTAGGAATAGTATCCAGTATATAGGATATCAGGTTTAGGAGCTAGTAGTATCCAGTATTTAGGATATCAGGTTTAGGAATAGTATCCAGTATATAGGATATCAGGTTTAGGAGCTAGTGGTATCCAGTATTTAGGATATTAGGTTTAGGATTAGTATTCAGTATATAGGATATCAGGTTTAGGAGTACTATTCAGTATATAGTATATCAGGTTTAGGATTAGTATTCAGTACATAGGATATCAGATTTAGGAGTAGTATTCAATATATAGGATATCAGGTTTAGGAGTAGTATTCAATATATAGGATATCAGGTTTTAGGAGTAGTATTCAGTATAAACAGTGGTAAGCGATTATATCTATACAATGAAGTTCAAAAGTAATCAAATGGACGCTTCTTTTTATTGACAGCTTCTCTTGAATTCTATGGTTATGTGTTTCCTTGATGTTTAGCAGCTTAATATACATCAAAATTTGAATAAAAAGTCGTCTTCATTGTATTGATATAATCACTTACCACTGTAGGATATCAGGTTTAGAAATAGTATCCACTATATAGGATATCAGGTCTAGAAATATTTTCCAGTTTATAGGATATTAGGTTTAGAAGCTAGTATAGTAGCCCCAGTATATAGGATATCAGGTTTCAGGAGTAGTATTCAGTACATAGGATATCAGACTATAAGGAGCTAGTAGTATCCAGTATATAGGGTATCAGGTTTAGGAGTAGTATTCAGTACATAGGATATCAGATTATAAGGAGCTAGTAGTATCCAGTATATAGGATATCAGGTTTAGGAGTAGTATTCAGTACATAGGATATCAGATTATAAGGAGCCAGTAGTATCCAGTATATAAGATATCAGGTTTAGGAGTAGTATTCAGTACAAAGGATATCAGATTATAACTCATGAACTCCTGTACCGATTTTCCTCAAATTTGGCAGTTCTTAGCTTGGTTTGAGATTGAGTTTAGTGGGTCGACTTTTACAGGGGAAAAAGCAAAATCGTAATTAAAGACCAAGTGCGGGTAAACGGCGGGAGTAGCTAGAGTACCCTGGGCAACGCTGGGTTCCCATGTTAGTATTGAATAAAAGAATAAAAGATAAGAACCATTTACCCGAAATTTTGCTGAATGTGAATGTGCATAATTTTCCATTCTTGCTTGAATCTGTTCATTCAGCATTCTTTTCATATTTTCCAGGGTTGGGAAGGTTTCAGCAATCTTCTCCTTATCCTTCTCCAACTGAGAGTTTGAGTAGAGAAGATGAAGCCTATCTCCGGCTACAAGATACCTCTCCCTTAGTCCGTCCAGGAGTTTGATTAGTTTCATCATCTCATCTGCATCCAGAACCTCGTCCTCCAGATACATATTCGTCTTCTCCGTTACAAACCTTGACTCTAGGATATTAAATCCTTGAATAAGTTGAATACTACATTTCACCTCCAGCTCCTGAGAGGAGAAGGGCAGATCATCGAAGGTTGTCCAACAGCTCTCATGGATAAAGTTAAAGGTTTGTAGTTGTTGGTTAATTAAATCCTCCTCACTAATCTGTCTGGAGGGATGTCTGTGTCTGCTCTGAGAATGAATATTATCTATCTCGTCTTTCCGGGCTTGCGAGGCGAGCCGACGAAGATACAGTTTAGCTTTCTTGATGGATAATCCAACCCAGGCCTCCATATAGTCCTGGAACAGGATCTCAGGAGAACAGTATTCCTTCCCAACCTTCTCCGCCATCCTTCTCATCCCATAAAAACAGTTAAACGCCTGAAAAGATTAGAGCTTTGGTTTTACAATTGTTTAAAAGAAAATATAAAGGAACTGAACAAATTACAGTGAGTACCAGAAAACTCTGGAATAAGAAGACGACTGTTAGGCCAAAGTTATGACTTTGTAAAGTCCAATACACATTAGAGACACAATTGTGCAGCGTAAACAGACCCTTTTTATTTAATCAGTGATCTATAGGAGAAATATTTGCTTTATAACAACATCAAATACAAAAAGCACTGCTTTCGTGTCTTCCTATTTCTCAGTTTTCTGGTTCTCACTGTGTGACTTTCTAATTTTAAATCCTTAAATCTTTGCAACCAAATTCAATAAATATCTAAAAACATTTGAACTACGCAAACCAACTATCTTGAACTGGAACTGACGAACAAGACAAGTGTTTTAACTTAGTCAAGGTAGTTCAACCATTTAGTATTAATTTAATTTTGATCCCTTAGGATGTGTAGCTTGAACATGTCAAACCATGAATTCTGTTAAAGTTTGAAATATCAAAGGTTTACGCCATTAGATTGCAAAGATGTAGGGATTGGACAAATTTGATGTTGTGGCAAAGAGGAGATAAATTCATTCACTTTGCTCCTACTCCTAAGCAATACAAATATATATTTATAAATCTTGAGCAATTTACATATAACCCTTAAAAATAAAGAAGTAGTCCAATTTTTTGCTTACATCTTAGCTTGCAATGGGGTAAATATATAAGTATGTACAGTGTACATATGTACATAATTATGTACAGTGTACTTATGTACAATAAATATTCAAATCAGTATTCTGCAGTAAAACTTGATATAAAGTTTTTAGTTCAAAATCAAGTTTAAAAGTTAAAGTTGATTTGATGTTACTTCTTAAAGTTTAGAACGTGCAATACACTTGCTTATTCTTGTATACATTATTATTATAAGTATTTTTAGTAGCAGACAACCCACCATTCAATCGTAACAAAGATAAAAGGAAATGTAGACGTACGCAATTTCAAATTAAATCACACACCCTTTAGTAAAATAAATTCAACATAAAGTCTGACCGCATCAACCTTGTTGCACCGGCTAGTCCTGGAGTGTCTGCTTTATTTACCCAATGTCGGGGCGATACAGTACAAACTGGGACCGGAAAGGTTGACCGGCTCGGAAATTGAAATGAACTACGGCTGCACGTGAAATGTACGATTCGCAACAGGTCCCTTAAAAGCTCTGTTCAATCAAGAATGCATGCGACATTTCTCTGTTAAGTGCAGCTAGCGGATTTCTGCTTTAGAAAAAAAATTGTAAATTGTTTTCAATATCTGAATGGGACAATTAGTTTAAAGGTCACCCCAGTCTAAAAGTTGCATGATCCTTGCCGGTACATCACGCATTGATTGTATAGTGTACTGTTTATACATTCAATCGTTCTGTACTGTCAGGACTACCCAGTGTATAGTCGACCCAGCACGTTTTCTGCAACAAATGTTGCCTGGCACGATCACAGTGCCTTGTGAATCGGGCTTGGAAAGTAAATTGAAGTTAAAACAACAGCCCCTTTAATCGAATTGAAGTTAAAACAACAGCCCCTTTAATCGAATTGAAGTTAAAACAGCAGCCCCTTTAATCGAATTGAAGTTAAAACAACAGCCCATTTAATTGAATTCAAGTTAAAACACAGCCCCTTTAATCGAACTGAAGTTAAAACAACAGCCCCTTTAATCGAATTGAAGTTAAAACAACAGCCCCTTTAATCGAATTGAAGTTAAAACAACAGCCCCTTTAACCGGAAAAAAAGCTTTAAAACTATTTTAGCAAAGGAATCATAAACTCAAAGTCAACAAAGCTAAAACAATTATGTTTTGAAAGGTCTAATTAATTTCTTACCATAAATATGTTTTACACGCATTTTCAATATTTTCCGCATAATAGTTGAGAAGGTTGATTTCTAATTTTTCCAGGAAAGCTGCATACTTTACTCCTGCCTAAACCAAGCATAATAGTTTAAAAGGTTGATTTCTAATTTTTCCTGGATAGCTGCATACTTTACTCCTGCCTAAACCAAGCATAATAGTTTAGAAGGTTGATTTCTAATTTTTCCAGGATAGCTGCATACTTTACTCCTGCCTAAACCAAGCAGAAAATATCTAAACTTCATCTCTTAATTTGATATTTCTGGCGCCAAGATATCAAATCAAAGAATAGTATGAATAGTATGAATCAGAAATATGTGTCAAAATGCATAATTCCCTTGTCTACAAGAGACTAGAATGCGTAAATCTAAAAAAAGATTCATTTTTTACCCCCATTATTTACCCCCTTATTTTCTTTGTAATTTAATTCTCCTACTCCATCTTCATTTGCTGCACTTTGTTTATTTTTTTTAAATCATCAAAAGAAATTTTTTGCCACAAATCATGATCTTATGATGCAAATATCTTTGCAACCCAATGTCGTAGATTTTTCAAACCATGAATTCTGTTAGATCATATTCTAAGCTTGAAATATAACTATCAGGTTGCAAAGATGTAGGGATTGGACAAATTTGATGTTGTGGCAAAGACTCGGTTCCTTGGTTTTCATTTCTTATATATTGTTTGTTAATTATTATGTATCATGTAAAAAAGGATATCTTATTTAAGACGGAGGAATAAAAAATGATGCAATAAATTGAAAAATAGGAAGAAAAACAACATGTTACCTCAGCGATTTTATGGTTTAACATTTCCGTGATTATTTCAAGATTTGATCTTCGTCTCTTGATCTGTACAGGATCAAGTTCAGTGTCCTCCTCCTCCTGCTCCAGGTTCAGATCTGGTTTCTGTTCAACCAGGATAAACCGATCAGGTATAGAATCTGGGATTAGTTCTTCACTCAGCTCCTTCCACCAATCCTTTAACATTCTCTCAGCATGTATTCTGATACTATATTCAGCCTGGAGAACAAAATTTATTCTCATTGTTTTTCTTTATTAGAATTTGTTTCTTTCGGTCTTTCAAAATAATTTTTCAAAAAACTCAAATTTTACAATCTTTATATCTTTGCAACCTGAATATGTAGTAGACGTTTTACCTATTTAAAACTTATAGAATCTGATCTAACAGAATTCAAAATTTCAAATATCTAAGGCTAACAACATCGGGTTACAAAGATAATGATGTAAAAATCAGAGTTTTTGGCAAAAAATCGATTTATTTGAATCATTTTAAAGCATTTATAATATTATTTTTGTTCACAATTTGTCAAAAAAACTCCGATAAAAACTCGTTATAAACAAATATCTGTTGAGTTCAAATGAACACATTTCGGTGGGGTGGGGAGTATGTGACACCAGTTCTCGTTAGCTCACTGAAGTTAAGCAAACTTTTCCACAGCCAGTAACTGGATTGGTATCCATACTGGTGTTCACGGGGTTCGATTACCGTACTCCACACAAACCTGTGGTTTCAAAAACATCTGAAGCCGACACCTGGTTAAGGAGTTATGACCACCTGGCGGATGTAGGAGGAAAGAGGGGCGGTTGTAAACAAATCTCGCAGGGAAAGGGTGCGTGCTCTCTACTCAACAAGAAAGAAGCTAAAGTGGATTCAAAAACATCTGAAGCCGACATCTGGTTAAGGAGTTATGACCATCTGACGGATGTAGGAGGACAGAGGGGCGGCTGTCAACAACTCTCGCAGCGGAAGGGTGCGTGCTTTCTACTCAACAAGAAAGAAGCTTCAAGTGGAATTGATCCAAGTGAATTATGATGAAGAGAGGAATAGTGGACAAGTAGACTGAGTTTATGGTTTCCAGCTTTAGGCACCTGGAGGTATCCAATCCGTGCTCATAAATGATTGGAAGCAATGAGTGTGATGTTTGTAAGGCACCCGGGCCTCATTCCAGTATATCAGAAGAATTTCTGCACTCTCCTATTCTCAGGCCTAAGAAACTCTTATATCCTGTCAACCCTCTTCTCAGTATGAATGAAGCGTGGAAGGATGAATGTGAAACACCAAACTTTCACAACAACCCGGTTATGTCCTGGAAACAAAAAATCTCTAAAACAAATTAGTACTAACCTTATAAATAAATGATTTTGGTAAATAGATGATGCATTGAAGGCCATTTCTTTATTTACATATTTCTTGGGACACCATGCATTATACCATATATTGTATTTATCTTAATATTTTGAGAAAACTATTTTAAACTGATCACCTTTGGCTTGACTTTTTCCTGGTCTAAGACTGCCAGATTTCCCACAACTTCTCCGACCATCTGAATAAATAATTCAAAAATCAATATCATTCGAAAAAAATAAATAATGAAAAGGTGAAATCGATGCATGCAGTGTATTAACTTTTGATAACAGTTGTATTTCGCAACCTTTGGAGTCATTAGGAATTTTTGGAGGTGTTGACCAAATTTGGAGTTGTAAGGGAAATTTGGAGTTGTTAGGAACCTTTGGAGTCATTAGGAATTTTTGGTGGTTTTAAGAACATCTGGAGTTGTTGGGGACATTTGGAGTCGTTAGGAGCATTTGTAGTCATCTGGATTTATTGAGAACATCTAGAGAACATCTAGAGTCGAACATTTGGAGCAGGAACTTTTGTAGCCGCCATGAACCTTTAGAGCTGTCAGGAATATTTGGAGCCACTGGGAACATTTGAAGTCGATAGGAAGGTAAGGAGATATTTTGCGTTATTTTATTACATATTACGCATTATGCATTATATTTCCGAAAATTGACTAAAACAGCACTATCTACATCATAAGTCTTTTCAGTGTAATCTGTCACTTATTTGATAAGGGGTTTACACTCTACAGAATATTTAATAAGTGATTTATACCTCTGCAGAATATTTGATAAGGGGTTTACACTCTACAAAATATTTAATAAGTGATTTATACCTCTGCAGAATATTTGATAAGGGATTTACACTCTACAGAATATTTAATAAGTGATTTATACCTCTGCAGAATATTTTATAAGTGATTTATACCTCTGCAGAATATTTTATAAGTGATTTATACCTCTGCAGAATATTTAAAAAGTGATTTATACCTCTGCAGAATATTTGATAAGTGATTTATACCTCTGCAGAATGATTTTGCATTCCCTGAAGGATGTGTGATGAGATGTCGATATAGCGGAGGATGGCTGGAAGGTAGGGACTAGTGCTCTGCAGGTTCTGAGATACTATCTCCAGGTGCTCACGGAGCAATGACTGCGGAAACCTATACGACAAAACTTGTTTACGTTTTATGATTAAAGACCATAAATAAAAACTAGAAATAATCCGAGAACCAGAAAACAGTAAAACTTTCTTAATTTTTTTTCTTTTAATTATATTATGTCGCTATATAATGATTTCATAACTTGCAAATGCACTGCACTGCAATAAGGAACAAAGACGACATTCGATTATAAGTTTTCAGGTTCTTATTTAAATTTACTAAACCTGGAAGAATTGAATGCCTGTATGAAGGAGACAGCTCTGAATAAACTTCGTTCTGCATCGTTTTCAAACCTTGCAAACCCCTCAAGCAGGTTCAAGATAGTACTAAATAAGGAAGATCATATTAAAGGGAGTGTTCGCGAAAAATGAAAGGGGGTATAGGCTTAATGCGATAAAAAAGCGCTTTTGATCGCTACTAATCTTAATTCTATCTGTTGC